CAAGGAAACAATCTTTTTTAAATCCGCGAGGTGTTAACTTGTATTATACAAATTTACGGGAACATTCCAGTGTATTTGATTTACACATTTTGTCACTATGAAAAATATATTATTTCTTTTTACTAAAGTAGGTTCAGATCAGATATTACTGATTTTAAACAAACTAGTATCTAATCTAAGCATCAATTCTGAGATATAAATAAAATTAGAGTTTTGTCTGTACATTGCTCAGAATCATAAACTTTTAGGTTATTTTTACGTTTTATACATTAGAGAAACCGAAACAAGTCTCATCTAAATTTCTGTCTGTCTTTCCTGTCTGTTACGACCCAAGAGCCATTTTACGCGGCCTACTCCTGAAAAACGAGAGTACCTATCAAGTTCCAAATCATTTTAATATATTCACTGAATTGGCGAGATTGTCTTTAGCCATTAAAATATGGCGTCACCACTTTGTAAATAAAATGACGGACGTTTAAAAACCCAATTTTGTGTGATTTTTGCAAAGTTTTCTCCCAATGTTTAGCACATATTCTTCTATGAAATAGCGAACAGCTGTTCAAATCAAGATTATTTCTTCTAGCTGTCACTGATATGTTTACATTGAATGTTGTTTACAAATACCGCAGCCATTTCCGATCACGTTTTGAAAGCAAATCCAAACCAATTAAAATTAAAAACGTTTTTCCTTACATAACGGATTTAATAAATCGCAAGTGCAATAATATGTAGGGTAACAGTAAATGAAAATAGAGATTCTTTGTGTATAAAATTGTTCTTGAGTTTTGATAACCGGGAAATAGACCTTGAATCAGTGTTGTATATTGCTGGGAAACTTACATTTTTTAAATGAGCGTTTTCAGTCGAGACTCGGCACACGACCGACGCGCGTCTACTTGTCCATAGTAAAAATAAAAGTAGGCCTACGTGTATTTATGTTTTATTCGTCATGTGTATAAGTGTACAGTTCGTGTATGTGTTTCAAAAACTCCAAGACGCACCTAATGGGGATGCTCAAGACCTTATATTAGGACTGATGATGGCGATTTAATTTCGCCGAAATGCATCTTCTGTAATAGGATCGACCAGCGGACACAGGTAATTTAGACTTTTATTGATTGTCATACCGATCCGGAACAACAACAAACGACATAAAATGAAGTTATGTATAATAAATAGTTTGGCCAGCATATCTGAAAATATGCAAACCAACTGCTGTTCTTTATATAAGAAGGTTTCAACTGATTACTATAAGATCCCCGTGCGTAGAACGGGTACACAGCTAGTAATAAATAAAATCAAATATACCTTGACCAAAAATGCAAAAGGTCTTTAATTTATTGGTTATCCGTTAAAACCATGCAATATTGAAAGTTATGTTCAATTGCATAACTCTGTTATATTTCATAATCAGGTAAAAATAGCGTCCACACCTTGGGCGAAAATAGTTTTCAAACTTCGTATTTCGAGTTCAATACTTGAAATGAACATATCTCGGGATCGAAAACCCTTTTGCCAAGTAAATCAAATAACTCAATTTGTCTAGTTATTAAGTATCCTTTATTCAACTAAACCTCTCAAAGAGTGATTTGTTATTTGTTATTTTACATTTGTTATTTTAAGACGGCCACTTCTTTCAGACAACTATGAGAGGTTTACAATACGAATAAAGATATCACTCCTATTTTACGCGACCAGAGTTACAAATTTCCTGCGAGAAACAACAATCTTGCATCTCCTACACTTTGGTACAGTCGCCTAAACCGACGCAATTTACCGCACTCCACAAAGAACCGTTTCATTTCCTTCATTTCAATTATCTCCGAGCTTTTCATCTTTTACAAACATCACGAGCGTAAACACTAGGTTAGCGTCATCCTACAAAGGGCACGGTTCTGTAGTAAACGTGACTTTTTAAAAGGGATTGGACAAAACTGTTGTGGTGAGAGTCGTTGAAGAAGTTTGCAGCTTTTTGTGGTGCGGTGGGGCGCCAATTACGTTCTTTGTCTGGGCAGTAATTGCTCTTATCTTACTTGTGTCCCGCCGCGGGCGACTCTTGTCACCGATGTTTAGGCTGCCTTTAACTTTTCAGTTTACTGCTTTGCGTTCGGTTCGAATTTACTTTGATTTTATGAGAGTAAATTATTTTAGTTGAAATAGTTATTGATGCGTAACAAAGTTACAAAGATCGTGACCTCAACTGTACTCTCAATTTTGTGATATCAAGTTTGAAAAACAGTGAAAGTAAAATACTGTTTTAGTTAGAGGTTAAGTAATTATTTTAAATGTAATGATTTTTTCTCTCAATTTCACGTTCTAGGATATAGTCTCTAGCTCGCAACCGTTTTACACATTATAGTAATGTGTTGGCCTATATGATTGCATCATTATCTATATATATAAAATCCAATGTATGTTTGTATATTTGTATATTTGTATGTTTGTATATTTGTATGTTTGTATATTTGTATGTTTGTATATTTGTATGTTTGTCCTTTATGGACTCCAAAACCGCTCGACAGATTGTAATGAAACTTTCAGCCATTATTAAGCATTATTCAAGGATGGTTTGTGTGAAGTTTGGTGCAGATCCGTCAACAGGGCTCCGCCCCAGTGGCTCTGGAGTTTCCCATGTTAACCTTATGAGTACTCATATTTATATTTAAATGGAATTAAAGAATCTTAACAGCTGGTGCAACTAAACAATTTGATTCTGTGATGTTCAATAGCATTAAAAAGTTAATAGGTTTACCAACAGGGTGCAGCACTATATTTATTTTTAATTTATGAGAACAGTTGATTTGCAACCAAAAGGTGAGTGAGCGTAGCGAACGAACTTCAACCTGCAGGCGAGTTAGCGTAGCGAACGAGCTAACCTGAAGGCAAGTAGTAAACGCAGCGAACGAGCTCCAACCTAAAGGTGAGTGAGCGTAGCGAACGAACTTCAACCAGGACGTGATTGAGCCATGCGAACGAGCTCATCTTGAAAATGAACGAGCATGTGACATAAAACCACAATAGGACAGGACGACGTCTGTCGGGCCAGCTAGTCAATTATATAAAGCCCATTTGTGATTGGAAGGATTTGATCCCGGGACCTCACTACCTCTAGACCAGCTCGTTTCCCAGTATATGTTGTGTATATGTAATATGTTGCGGTACTATGCAGTTCGGAGAAATAATGCAATTAAATATCGTATTTCAGCATTTCTCTAATGCACATACCTTTTAATTGTTGTTGATACTTAAATTTTGTTCTTGACCCAAGGAAGGTGTTAATTGACGTAAAGAAGTATCATTATGTTTTGCAGTGTATTTTGAGCATTTTTTTTTTCAACAAAATTTGTAACGGAGTCCCCTAAAGTTACTGAATTGTCTATTTTTAAAGCCGAACAAGTATTATTATTTGAAGCTGTTTTTGTACTTTTCCGCAAAAACCCCAAATGTTCAAACTAATATTGTTTTGTAATCATAAAAAACCATTTTCGCCCAAATTCTTAACGTTGACGAAGAGCTGTTGATTTATAAGACGTTTCAGAAATCGTTACTTTTACTATAAATTGTACCACTTTAAAAAATAAAACTCTTGTCCATAATATAAAAAAAAAAACATTTAATTCAATACTTTAAGCTATTATGTCTTTAGCAATCCTTGCACAAACGATTTTCAGGGATTTGATTAAATAATATAACCAACATATAAATAATTTATTTATTTGAACTTTTTACATTTACTATTAACTTACTAATTAATTACCTAATCACATAATCAATACAATTTAAACACAACAAGTTTAATACAATAAATACTATATTACATACCTAGTATCGATTGAGAGTTAGATCAACTCTATAAATAATTTACAAAATTATGATTTTAAAGACGGGATCATCTACGTTGTGTCATTGGCTACAAATACTATATAATAAATTTTTGGATACATTTAAAGTCTTATTTTATCAGCTATACTCGTTTAGGCCTACGGTTTTATATGTTTTCTGTCCAAAACTATTTTTAGAAAATATACATATTGAGTAAATAATGTGATATTTTGGCAAAAACTTATTTCATGAGAGCTATAAGCATGAGAGCTAAAACAGCAGTGAGGGAAATGTAACTAAATATTATTTTATTTATCATTGCAAATTTAAGTATTGCTTTGTAAATACTAATAAATAAAAATAATCGTTGGCAAAGACTTATTAAGAAATCAAACGTGTCGAACCAACCAGTTGCGAACCAACTTCTTTTTTATATATATATAAAGATTTATTTAGTTTTTTTTTCAGTGAGAAAAGAACTATGTATGAATAATATTTTAACTTTTTCAGTCACTAAAATGCACTCTCTTTGCAGTAATATTTTACTAAGATACTCAATACTTAAAATAGATTTAAATATGCGAGTTTCAAGGGTAATTACAATTGGTCTTTGGTATATCATATTTCACTAGAAATGGCAAGTTGTAGCGTATAATGAATGCTATATACTCATCTCTAAGTTGATAAATAGTATCTATGTATAAACATAAATTACAAAAAATGAATTCTTGTTAAACACTGAAAGTGGTTTGCTATCCCACTAAATTTTCACCGTTAAACTTGAAATTTACATTTTAGAATGAAAACTTGATTAATTGTTAGTTTCTATAACTAAGTATTATTTTCTCCAATGCTGTAATAAATTACAATTTAAGATTTTCACTAGCTATGAGTATAACATTATTATGTTTGCTGGTTACTGATAAATGAATTTGTAATGTTGGCGAACATTTACTCAAACTTATTGACAGACTACAATTAAAGTAGTTTGAAAAAAAAATCAATGTAGTTTTCTCGTAGTAAAACAATTTTTTTGCTATAGTCAACCAAATATACGTAGACTTTAATAACGAATTAGATAAGCATTATTGATATTTTTGCTATTGATAAGGCTCTATTACGAACTGCTAACTGTAATATGACCAATAAGAGATAATAAATGGATAAGAGATTTAAACCATTGATGTTAATGAAGTTAACTCTTTAAAGATAGATATTTTGCCTCTAACACATTTTCACGACTCACAAATTTGGGCAAGAAGTTTTTCTCAGGAGTTGAAGACAAAAATACATTCTCGTACATGAATGGATTTCACTAAAATGTTCACCAAAATTCAACAGATATTGTCCAAAAAGGCAATTCACTATTCACATCACGAAAGCGAATAGTTGACGGAAGGTTCGGTTCATATAGGACAGCCGTGGACGTAGGTGACGTTGCGGAAGATAGCGGCAGCGGTAGTCAGGAAGTTGCAGGCTGCTGAGGAAGGTGGGTAAGGACTGCAGCAGCTCACGTCAGCGCCACCGTGCTGCAGAATCTCCTTCTCCACTGACGCTTGCTGACGAAGCTGTTCCAGCCGCAACTGGTTCTGTCTCTTCCACTTCGTCCTGAAAATTAATTTGATTTTCAATGCTTTCCAAAAATTGTCTTTCTACAGTATTCAAACAGAACTCGTTTATTGGTTAATTTTCCACCTGGTTTGACATGTTATGGAGGATGTAGAACCTTTTATCTTTTTGTGACTAATTTTTATTCCTTTTACATAAAACCTAGACACAGAATGGTACTTTCAACGAGGGTATCAAAAATGTTAACTAGATTTTTAAATCTCCTTAGTAATGTGTTTAAAAAACCTAGCTTTATGACATTGTGTGACTTTAAAACTATAGCATTAAATCTCTAACGCTTATGTTTCTTTGGGGCATAATGACATTTTCTTCATAAACTACTTGCCCTACCATGAAACATGATCACAAACTTGCCCTGCAAACCTCAGGATTCTGTGAACTTCCAATAGTCTCATGACTCACCTACGGCTCTAATACCATCTACCACCAAAGGACACTTTCATAATACGCCTTGGACATCAAACAGTCTGAGACACTTTCACAATCCTTGTCTCTGAACCTGAGTAACTTCTAGGAACTTCCAATCATCTGACAATCTGACTCACCGTTTGTTCCAAGTCTTATATGGCTAAAAGACACATTCACACGCCATAACTACCAACCTAAGAGTATTCTAGGAACCTCCAAGGTCCAACTCACCTTCGGTTCTGGTACCAAGTCTTATATGACTAACTACCAACCTAAGAGGATTCTAGGAACCTCCAAAGTCTAACTCACCTTCGGTTCTGGTACCAAGTCTTATATGACTAACTGCCAACCTAAGAGGATTCTAGGAACCTCCAAAAGTCTAACTCGCCTACGGTTCTGGTACCAAGTCTTATATGACTAACTGCCGACCAAAGAGGATTCTAGGAACCTCCAAAGTCTAACTCACCTACGGTTCTAGTACCAAGTCTTATATGACTAACTGCCAACCTAAGAGGATTCTAGGAACCTCCAAAAGTCTAACTCGCCTACGGTTCTGGTACCAAGTCTTATATGACTAACTGCCAACCTAGGAGGATTCTAGGAACCTCCAAAAGTCTAACTCACCTACGGTTCTGGTACCAAGTCTTATATGACTAACTGCCGACCAAAGAGGATTCTAGGAACCTCCAAAGTCTAACTCACCTACGGTTCTAGTACCAAGTCTTATATGACTAACTGCCAACCTAAGAGGATTCTAGGAACCTTCAAAGTCTAACTCACCTTCGGTTCTGGTACCAAGTCTTATATGACTAACTGCCGACCAAAGAGGATTCTAGGAACCTCCAAAGTCTAACTCACCTACGGTTCTAGTACCAAGTCTTATATGACTAACTACCAACCTAAGAGGATTCTAGGAACCTCCAAAAGTCTAACTCACCTACGGTTCTAGTACCAAGTCTTATATGACTAACTGCCGACCAAAGAGGATTCTAGGAACCTCCAAAAGTCTAACTCACCTACGGTTCTGGTACCAAGTCTTATATGACTAACTGCCGACCAAAGAGGATTCTAGGAACCTTCAAAGTCTAACTCACCTTCGGTTCTAGTACCAAGTCTTATATGACTAACTGCCAACCTAAGAGGATTCTAGGAACCTCCAAAAGTCTCACTCACCTACGGTTCTGGTACCACGTCTTGACCTGGGTCTCGGACAGGTTGAGGGCGTCCGCCACGTCGCTACGGTCGGCGACAGAGAGGTACTTTTGACAGCGGAACTTGCGCTCCAGGTAGGCGAGCTGCGCGTGCGTGAAGGCCGTTCTACGTCTGCGCGGTTTGCGACTCTTGGCTGCTGAGTCCTGACTGTCGTGGTGTAGACTCAGCAATGAGTTGTGCTGCTGCAGTATCAGCGGTAGAGGATGCTGCAGTCGTGATCTTACCTCGCTCTCTCTGTCTCTCTCTTCTTCTGAACACTCCGAGTCGTCTGCAACTGTGACGTCATTGTGATTAGAATTAAATTGGTTGTAGATTATAGATGCGTTTATAAATAAATTAGTGTTAAGATGTGTAGTGTTATTAACTAGTTAAATATTAGACCTGATTAGGAAAAAGATTTGTACGATCCACCATTAGATTACGAATCTACCTTCATATCAGGTAATACTGAAACAAATCGTGACAAAATACTACACACCTACAGATTTTACACGTAAAAGCCGGGTTTTCCTAGGCTCGGAATCGGCGAGCGGAGAGAGGAACGCGGAGAGCGGACTCCACTTTTCTTAGGCAATTTAATGTTACTGTTTTCCTAGAAGCGGAGTGGAATGCCATGTTAATTTCAATTCCGCTCTCCGCGTTCCTCTCTCTGCTCGCCGATTCCGCGCCTAGGAAACCCCAGCTTAAAAAACCCAAATCTGTGTTTACTTTTTCATAAAAATAAGATAAAAATAGACAAAATAAAAATAGACCAACCATTCATTCCTTCTTTGATATATCAATTTTCTGTCTGAATGGTAATGAACTATTCATAAGGTTTGTTTTACAATGTCGTTCCTTCTTTATGTCTCAATTTCTAAGATAATATAATTTATGCTATTACTAGTGTATATTTTTAATCTTCTGGGTTAATGTGTCTTCCAGCTACAATTCAACTAACGGTCGGCAATATCAATTTTATGATTATTTAACTTTATGTGCTAAAATCGAAGATTTATCAGAATAAGTTAACATGTTTTTCATTGTTCATGATGGAAAAGTGATCTCCTGAAGAACAACATGTGAAGTGTTGAATTCATTAAAACTAAGTTTAAGAATGAGTATTAAATAGTTATTTGTGTAGCTAATGTGCGAAGTGGCACTTTGCGCTTGCGTTACACATTATATTTTTCCTACAGTTACAATAAGCATATAAATAATTAGTCTTTCAAACACTATACAACACGATTTAAGGTTAGGTTCAATCCAAGCGTTGAACGAAATGGGAAACGTTGCAGCAGCTGATCGTAGTCGTAGTATAAGTGTTGCCAACTTATTTTCGAGCGTAAACGTAATACGTGTCTAATATAAGTCCACTGTTTTGTGTTGTTTGGTTGAAATACTGGAATGCGTTAAAAAATGAGTGCGGAAAAAGTAATTAAATGCAGCAATTAGCTGCATTGCATTCCATAATCAGTGCAAGGAAGCCCACTTTGTCAGGTAACTGAAGGAAAGAAATTATTGAATGTATTTATATCATAAACCATCTGTGATATTTTTATCAGTAAAATAAACTACTTTTTCCCTAGTTTTGGAAAGAATAACACAACAAAGAGCACTCAAACAATCAAATATTCATTTGTCCTCTCAATTCATATTCACTATCACCCTCTAACAGCTGCAAATTGGCCGAATAACATATCCGGGTATAATGCCACTGCAAGTGTAACAACTGAGACTATCACCCCCGCTGGGTAGGGGGTTGGGATTATGTAGTCTATACAAACAGCAAATTGATGTTCGATTCCCCTCGACGACAAGTGGCGGCTACAGACAGGACCCTAACAATCCTGTTAACAGGACGTGTCCTTCGTCCTTCCCCACTACACCCTCGACTAGTTTACGTACTACTACTTGAGTTCCGAGCAAATCGCCTGTCGTTATGTGGGTGTCCTAAAGTGGATGCAGAAATCGTAGTTAAATCGAATTTAAATTTTGAAATGATGTGTGGTTTTGAAGAAGTTTTGTATACTATGACGAAAAATTAGATTTTTTACCTGGTAGGTTATGGGGGTTGTTTTGTTGCTTTGACGTTGTTGGTGTTTTAATAATTTGTTTAATAAGATTATTGAAAATATGACATTATTGCTATAAAAATGTATACTCTGGACCGTTAAATATTATAATTAATTAGTATGCCAATTACGAATTGTAACTTTTGTGCAAGAGTCGGACTTTTTAGGTATAACCAGCAACCATTAGATTTAAAGGTACTAGCCATTCGGTCAGTGAATTTCGCTGAGATAATTTACAATCCAGAAAAAAGTTTATGGACCTAGATACATAAAGCATAGATAATTCCACAGATTGCACGTATTCAATTTGTGTAGCTAAAGAACGAGCATGATTAAAAAAAACCTTACATTTTAATGTTACAGTATGAATATTTATTTTATAGGAAATAGCATGGAATATGAAATTTTACCTAAATACAATTTTCCACAAAGGGAAAATATCGTTAATTCCCATTCGTGAATTTAAGTTGGTAAAGGTTCAGCAAACACTAAGCTGTGCGATTTCCGATTTCTGTACCGAGGAAGAGCGGAACCTTGCGCATATCATTATCGTAGGTAAATTTGCATCGTACCAAGGGAGATAAACGTATGTATTTTGGTAATAAAAGCTGTAATAGTTAAATTATTTAGTTAAAATTATCATTTTACTGTAAAAAGGACTTTTTAATCACAGTAATATCTCCAAATACTGTTTCATGTAAGGTTTCACAATAAACCTTTGTTGGGGGAATTTTTCTGTTTATGGATGTTTCAATTATATTTACATCGGTATTGAATATGATGTGGTTAAAGTTTGATTTTTGAAACATAATAAGCAACGAAATGTTTATAAGAAAGTTACTTAATTAAACGTATTACTGGACCGGCGTATGTGTGGTTCCTTTTACATTACATTCATATACATTATGGTGTTTTGTTGATGACATTTGTGATTTCCAATGCCTCGCAATGAAAATTTAAATCCTGGTATTTGATGGACTTTTGGGTACTTATTGTTAAAGGGAACATTCATTATTATCGATGATTTTTTTCGATATATCGATATTTTTGTTTTCCGATCCTTTACAAATTGACAACAACTAACTACTGATCTTGTTTAGGCTAAAACAGTCTATTATATGGATTAAGAAATAAAACTGTTCTAAGCTAACCGTTTGATAACAGAAAAGGCAAGTTAAACACGGAATTTTTAAATGTTACAGCAAGTTTGGTTAGTTATGTTAGGTTATTTATTTAGAACAGTTTCATTTTATTATTGTTTGTTGATACTGAACAATATTTATCGTAGTTGTCAGCTGATATGTTTCAATTTGTTAATATCGATATATCGAGAAAAAAACCATCGATAATAATGAATTTTCCCTTTAACAGGAAAGTACCGATTTTTGTGTGCAGCAAATTGACCCCTAAATATTAATGTTTATTGGCATATTGGGTATCAATCTAAAGCTATTATCCTCTAGATGTGCCTTTTGCAGTTTTGGATGATATCTCGTGAAAGTAATTCGTCCTATAGGCTTTTAAAATTTCATAGTTTGTGCTGAATTCTGTTGTCAATCATCTGAACTTTTTCAAGTTTAAATTTTTTGTTCACATCAAAACAGATGGCCATGATACAATTTTGATTACATCCAAACGAAAATTGTGTTTTTCTGTAGATGGCTATGTTTTAGTGAATTCAAGTAAAATGTTGTAATGTTGGTTGTGTAAAATGTAAAGAAGAAAATGACTTACATTATGTTTTGTGTTTTCACAGTATGTTTCGTTGGTATTTGTAATTTTTCTAAGATACCTCGAAGAGATCGCGCACGCTGTGAAAAATAGGGCTCGCAATGCAAATAATAGGGATATGATGAGACAATCGTTTTCATCCTTATCAACTATATATCAAACATATATCACGGATTTTGAAGTCATGAAGTGACGCAGGTTGCTAGTATTATTGAAAATATCATATCTTGTCGTATTTTATCATATGTTACTTTAAATTCCCGAACTGCTTTCTATATTTTGGTATCATTAGTTTGGTTTATTCATATTTATTGGTTTATTGGAATTTTTCATTATTTATTGAATATTAAAAAATGAACTATTTCGTTAGTTATTTTTAAATAATTAAGTAATTAGTGTAATTAACACATTTTTAAATGACACATTTTTTCAAGCAGTTACACGTAAGAACTTAGAACAGTTTTAAATCAACTATATAACAACTATATAAGCAATATCTTATATCTTGTTATGTCTTAATCTTTTTGTTGTCTTATTGTTAATCTATTTATTGATTACTTCAAGTTGGCTTAAATTGCTTCAAAAATGTCTATTTTTAACTTATGTCTTTAATGTTTTGTCATATTTATGTATTGGTTTGAGCGTTGATATGAATAAATAAATAAATAAACTAAATGTTTAATTTTTTTAATATGCTTACCAGTGTTTACAACATTTTCACATCAGCATTTGAAGGTTTGTAATTTGACTTACCGTGTTAATTACAGACGTCTCACTAATTTTGACAATATTGTATCACATATTACAATATTCATTACAAACGCCATTCAATGGTACCGGTTGATCTCCTACTCGACCAATGCTGTTTTAAACTTCACGTAAATGTTTACATTCATGGAAACTTTGTTTAAGTGTATTTGTCATTTACCAAAAATATAGGCTATAATTACTTCTAGATGAATCCAAATTTGTAATAGTACCTTACACGCTGTTTGAATTTAAATTGGAACGGTCTTTATTGGTATCATTTCCATTTATTCTTTTAGTTATATTGCATGTGTGAAATATATATATATATATTTGTTGTTGTTGTTGTTGTTGTTTAAATACACTTATCTTAACTACTTATAAACCCAACAAAACCCTTTTTGAATCTGTAAACTGCTGTAAAGGTGAACGCGTGTGTATAATTATTTATTTTTTTCTTATACAACTGATTGTATTTTGTAAATGGCATTGCCATGGAAAATAAAAAAATGAAATGAAACCAACTGTGAATAATTAAATCCATCACTTACAAATCAAATAACACATTCGTGTTAGTAATTAAAGAGCATACCAAGTTGTGGGTGTTATATTGTGTCTGTATAGAATCAAGTTGTGTTACAGATTATTAACGCAATCGGATTCGTGTTTGCTAAAATATTTAATAGGAAGATATGAATTACTCAGTAAAATTTATGTGGAAATTAAGGTTACCAAACAACAGTTCAAAATAATTTCATAGCTATTAAATATACAAATAAAACCATGCATTCACATTATTGAATGATAAGTTTTTTTAAAGACAATTTTGTAGATGCTGTAATTTGTATAGTCGTAATTTTGGATCAATTGCGTCACTACTAGTGACTAAGTACACTACTAAAGTAAGTACACTAAGTGCACGACATGAGAAAGTACGGTACGGTGCGCAAAACTATCCATTATTTCTTAAATTGTTGTATAGGGTCGTAATTGCTTTACAGAGGTAACTTTCCATTACTTAATCGTTACAAAATTTATATTTATAAAAAATGCGAACAATTTGAATAGTGATAGTCGTAAAATCAAAAATCCTCACAAATTTATTTAAAAAAATCATTGTATCATCAATGATACAAATAGTATGAGTATCAGATGTAACATAATAATAAACTTTATAACTTGTAAAATATTACTAGTAAACTATAATAATGATGTTAATACAAACCAATAATAGGGATACTAATTTATTGCAGTTAAATCTTTATCATTTCACAGATTAATATCACGTGTTTATAAGTGTATGGTGATCTTGATCACTGTTTTGTATATTATACTTGATAAGTCGTAGTTGCCGTAAATAAACAAAAAAACCTCCACTGTCAAAGAGTAAGCGTATTTTTTAATAATTTTGTTGGAAACTAATCAGTTAAAGGAAATCGCTCTGTGCCGAAGTCGATTTTGTACCAACCGTTGTTTTGAATCATAGGTAAATCAAATTAACCCTTGATGTGTCATTTAAGTAAAATTAAAAATATATTAGATACAATATCAATTTTCAAGTCTCACCTTCCCTGTTGATGATAACGTCCCCCAGCAAGTCCTTTATCAAGAATGACGTCTTTGTCTGCTGCATCATGTTGGCGTACATCTATAAACCCTTTATCTACAAATAAATAACCACTAAGCGCAAACTATATCAAACCCGCACATTGTAACCGACGACAAATAAAACTTTCATAAAAATCCGCTAAAACCCAAAATCTAAAAGTTCTCTATTTCCTCTAAATAAACCTTGAGATAACCGGTGTTGACAGAGCGGGGGATGAAATATTAATGTCAAAAGTACAAACATTCGCCATATTGGTACAGTGATTACTCCCCCCGCCCTGCGGTAAACTCGCTAATGCCTCCGTAACTGCGCGCGACGACACCGAGCCTTCTGATTGGTCCGCGCGCCGAGAGCTCGCCTCCCATTGGTCGACCGAGGCTCACTCGATTTCAGACTATCAAATCGCTCTTACCCCGGTTCTTCCGCTCTAAAACGCCTCTTCGAATTATTGCCATTACGGTTATCCCCGGTTTCATAAAGGCTTGAAAGGTTTATTTAAAAAGTTGAAAATTGGATGTAGGTCGGATGTTTTGAGATGTTGAATATAAAATGGTGTTAATTATGAGTAATTGCTGTTGTAATTGTCCTTAATGTGTGGTAAATATCGTAGTTTATCGTAATTAGAGTGTAATAATTACGCTGTTTTACATGGTAATTAATATCGTGTTTGTGTTATTAGGACGATTTAATTATGAAAAAAAACTTACATTAAGTGTTTGGACAATATTGATAAAACCCATTTCGTTTTGGTCTTTAACTATTTGAACGTTGTATTTAAATGCATGCTTCTACAACTATAACGTTTTAGAAACTAATAGTGTACTTTATAAAAAAGGCTGGTTTAACTAATTTTTTAAAGTCGTACGTTCACAAATGAAATACGTATATAACTGAGAGACTAAACGTTAAAAAACAACACAGCCTAAAATTGTTTGAACAAAAATTCCACTATTCCGGTTTAAAACTTTCTCACGCACTCCTAAAACAACTCCAAAACATCCAGAAAACCTCAAAATTCAAAACAAAAATCTAACCAAACGCTTTCTATGATATGGACGATTTTTTTAATTTCACAAAACAGAGCCCTTTGGCCTAGAATGCAGTTATTTAAGTCATTTTTTATTATTGTTTCCCTGTTGACCCTGTCCTATTCCTGCCTCAGGGTGACGGACGGAAACTTTAAGTACTCAAAGTATGTAATCAAAATAAGCACAATTTATTCACTACACCACCTTAACCCTCAAAACTAATAGTACTTTGTATACGATTATAAACACAGAGATATATAATTGACTATGATTGACCATCTTCCGTTCGAGATGGTATAAAGGTCTAAAAGTACAACTGTTAATAGAGAGTACCAAATAACACGTAGTATTAAAATGGCAAACATTATTTCTTTGCTGTTTGCACTATTACTAACCCCAAGCTTTCCAAAATAAAAAACTTTATAAATCAATGTTACATTATACAAAACCTTAGGTTTGTACGTGGTATAAATCACCACAATGATAAACCTTAATATTTATCTGCATGTTACATTTATTGGCTCAGCCTAGATGAACCAAGAATGTGTGATGAAAATACTTAAAGGAAAGATGGCTTAGCTAAGATTTCAATAATGAGACTCGGAAAAAAACCCTCGTCACTTACGACAAAACAAATAACCAATATTATATCGTGCATACAAAATAGTATACACGATACTATGTTGTCAATGCATATTGTTGAAAATTCTAATCTAAGATACACAAAGTTCACAAGTATTTCGGAACACATTTTGTGACATGTTCGTTGTGTTTATACACACTCGTATGGATAATTTTTTAGATTAACTATAGTGTATTTTATTTCCACACTATCAAACTGTTAAATATTTATTCGATGTTCATAAAATTTGCTCTGGATAAACTAATGCAAAAGCGTTGTCAGCGTTTTAAAATGTGTATTAAATTAGCAGGTACTATAAAGACTACTATAAACTAAGCCCTTCACTGTGCTTAACGCCAGGGAGAGTACGGCTGAAAAAGGTGAGAATGTAATTGTATATGCTTATGTTTAAGAAGTACTGTACTGCTATACTACAGTACTACAGGCCTACAACCTTTGTGCGGTACCGTCGTCTGTTATTCTTTCCAAAATTTCTTGTCATTCGGCCGAGTTCGTCAATGTTATAAACTGTGTATCTAAATAATGTGTGCCCGTTGTCGTGTCCGTTTTTAGCGAATTTCCCTATAGGGAAGTAGCTATTACCGTAGGTCTCATGGTAAGACTTAGGCCCGGGACCGATTTACTTTTTCATTTTGATGTCCCCAGAGGCCAAAAACACCACTCGTTCAAATTTTTATATATATATGTGTGTGTGTGTGTGTGTGTGTGTCCGTGAACACGATAACTTGAGTAATTTTTATCCGATTTTGATGAAATTTGGTTTGAAGGTGTAAGGCGGGATAAACTTGAATGAGTTCGCGATCCAGCATGATTGGACCATGGGAACAGGGTTTTATGGGGGGTTTTATGGGGTAAAAATTGGTTTTTCTCACTTTTGACCCTCAAAACACAAAATTTCCCAATTTTTCTCTAAACCTTCTTAAAGAGCTTTAAAAAACAAACAATTCAGTATATCAAAGTGTTTTTGTACGGTTATTGGTTACGGAGAAAACTAAAAAAATGGTAAATTTAAAATTCCCATGTTATTCTTATGGAGAATATTGTAAAATGTTGTAGTTTGCTTGTTTATGGATATATTTTGATCAAACTTGGCAAATATATTCATTTTATACTAAGCAATAATTATTTTACTTAAAACACACACTTTATTAGTTTCCTTGTAGCAGCAAACCTAGGTACTCGTTAAACCTAATGTTATTTAAATAGATCAATTGAAAATCAATTCAGCCAAATGGAAATTCGCTTAGGCGTCAGGTTTGCTGCGGCGGGGGTATTGTATTCGTGTTCTTCGTAACAATCTCAGTGTGAGCTAATGTTTGAACCTTTATAATGACGTAGCTGAAGATTAAATTAAACGCGTTCTGCAGAACTCCAACTTTTGACACCTTAGGCTACCGAAAAAAAGGTAAATTATACTGAATAAGTAGCTCCATTTTACCACTTAGTAACATATTCTCTTTGATATAATCATTAAATAATAAATTATATCGGTTTGTATTATGTTACATTAAAACGTGTGGGTGTTTTACTTGAATTTTAATAATCAACCACCAAATGTATTTTAATTCTTCTATTTAAACAAAGATAATTTTCAGAGGAATGGAATGTCTAAGCCATAATTTTGATGTTGGGTTAAGTTTTTTAGAAATTAACTTCAATTTCAGCTTTTAAAAATGCTAGCAGCCAACACTGACATTTGAAATTTTATTACCATCTAGTTTATCTTACAGCTGCACACATAAGTGACACAAAAAAGCATTTGGATAAATTTGACATGTAAATTTTATTTTATTTATACTACTACTAGCTGTACCCGCGGGCTTTGCTCCGTTTTACTTCATAAGTGAGCTCGTTCGCATGGCTCAACCACGTCATGGTTGAAGTTCGTTCGCTACGCTCACTCACCTTTAGGTTGGAGCTCGTTCGCTGCGCTCATTTGCCTTCAGGTTAGCTCATTCGCTACGCTAACTCGCCTCCAGGTTGAAGTTCGTTCGCTACGCTCACTCACCTTTTGGTTGCAAATTAGCTGTTGTCATAAATTAAAAAATAAAAGTGCTTCACCCTGTTGGTAATCTCATAGAACCAACTTTTTAGTTGAAACAGCTGACTAAATTCTTTAATTCCCTTTTAATATGAATACTCATAAGGTTAACATGTGGAACTATAGAGCCACTGGGGCGGAGCCCGGGAATGTGAGCTATCATCATGCCAAATTTCAGCAAAATCCGTCCAGTGGTTAATGCGTTTACTTGTCACAAACATACATCCATACATCCAAACTTTCTCATTTATAGTATTAGTAGGATGTGTATTGTCATAATCGAATAAAAAAAGTGATGTGTCAGATGATCCTGTTTTACGCAAACCAACACATGTCACTCTAGTGGTTAGAAAGACAACCTGAAAGAGAAAAACTTGCAATATCGTACTCGGAAATTATTATGTTGCCATTATACATGGATACATGGTTGCAAGTATAAAACGAATATTCGACCGTAAATATCAAATTCTGCATCGGTTATCCACTCAAAACAAACCGCTCCAAGCCTCTCCACAATCCGCATTCGTATCTTGCATCACTTCATCCGATAATCGCATCCGGTTAATAAACCAAACAAAACAGATCCTTGTTGAGTTGTTTCGCCGCAATCAAAGGATCGATTTGGATGAATATTCGTAATTACGCCTAACTGCGGGAGAGTGGAGGGAGGTTACCCCCACCCCCTGTGGGCGCTCCCGCCAACGCGGCTCGCTTACATATGATTTCCCGCCAGTTATCATCTGTCGGATTATTTATCGTACTTTCTTCTTGTTTACTCCACCCACCCTCAATTATACGAACCAGGTTTACTTCGTTACCTGCGCCTACCCACCCGTGAGCGCTCCACGTTTGCCAAACGATCCGTGTATTCCCTCCCTTCTACTTCCAGGACTGTGTTCATTTAAATCATTTTGAGCTCCCGATTTGTTGGTTGAAAACTCTGCGCTGGATGATAAAACGTTTTGAGTAATAATTATACTCTGCGGGAATGTTGCTTGTGGTGAAGTTGAAACTTAAGCTTTTGTGTTTTCGGTACCTATTAAATCATGAGTTGTGAATTCTAAATGTATTTTTAAATTTGTTTGAAATTTTATTCAGTAGCTTCCAATGATTCTCATTAACTTTACTCCTTAATTTATTACACACCTTACAATTTAATCTGTACATCTAAAACCTTAGCAAAACTTTACACCGTAGAACTGGCGTAAATCTTCTAGTTGCACCTACAAACTAAAAACTACAGAGACCTACAATATTTATAACATTCCCATCTTGTCATTTGATTCACAGTACTCAACTACAGTACTGGCATATTAATGTTACCATCTATATGAAAAAGCCTACTTAATTCATCTTTCATCTTTTTCAAAGAGTGACAGCGGCAAACTATCTTCTGAAAGTCAGAGTATAGATCA